GCAACTGCAAATTATAGGTGAGATTGTGCAGGAAGGAGATAATAGACCACAAAAAGAAAGACTGCAGACCCAGAAAACTATTAGAACAACTTCTTTCAGCGTTAACGGTGGCTTCACAAGAAAGCTCAACTTGGGACTTTAATGGAAAGGCATAAAAAAGCGTTTCACATTTTTGCTCCGGTCTACAAAATGGACATTTGCGCAAATTGCTACATGGAGACCAGTTTAATTGGCTTCGATTGCAGATATCAAAGTGGATATTTTTTTCCCGCTGCTTTCTCCTATGTCACGTGTCCCAGGCTTGACAAGTTATAATCCCAGTAGAGATTTTGCATTTGTCAATTCCGCTTCGGTCTGGTTCAGGTGTCATAGGACCTGACAAGCAGCCCCGAGTAGCTGTAATCCCAAAAGGACTGTATATTGGAGTAGGCGAATTAGAGCACCCATTCGAAAAATTAGAGGGGGCGCATCGAGGTATATATATGAAGGATGGCTAGGAAGACGGACTTTAGCTTCCCGCTGCCTGCCCTACGTTCTATTCTGATCTGGTGCACAGTCCACGTCAGCTTATTTCATTTACGAAAAAAGAATGGGTCTATATGCACCCTTCATGGGCCAAATATAAGACAGGGTCACATAAGAACCTCGGGCAAAGGTAATATAAGTAGTGCGCCTTATATGCCCCCTAGTCCTAGAATTTTGGCCTACGGAAACAGTAGTTATAGGGGGTCGTGGGGTGGGGACATAGGATAGGCGGGGAAGGAAGTTTGTAGAGGTAAGTGTAAAGTGGGAAAATGTAGTTGAATTTGTTTCCCGCGGCCGCTGGGAGTAATTTGTTCCGCACGTTAATTGAAGGTATGCGCGGCGTTTCGCGCCGCCGACTATACTAATCTAACTCCAGAACGTTAAGTTGGATCTCGGGTAAGTTGAAGTAGATGACCTCCAAACCACCATTCCTATTTTTTCAGGAATTTCAGGAAACCTAACTTTTTATAATCGGGCTTTCCCGAAATACGTTAAAGGGTAACAGATTAAGCAAATCTACATATATAAATAAAAAACCATTCTCAATAAAATAGAATAAAAATTAATATAGCAGCTCTATAAGTATATTCCACTCATAAAACTCCCATAGTCACTGTTTCCATAGGAAAAAAATGCAGGGACTAGGGATATATGAGGTGCATTACTTAAACTACTGTTGTGGCCGGATGAAGAACATGCAAAGTTTAATGCGAAAATTTAACCGGTATTGTTCAGAGCTGATTTGCGACAAGCGACTTCTGCGACGACTATGAGTCATTGATAGGTAGGTCGGATGTCATACTTAAATGGTCAGTGCAATGGAGACGAGTCTTCTTCCGCAAGCGAAACTTTGCCAACCGTTGTACAGCAACCCGGGGATAACAAAAACTATCAATCACACACCATTTTAATACACCTTTACATAATTACTTTTTCCCTCACGATAAGAGAAGACCAAACAGAAAGCTCATGCAGAAGACAAAAAAGTACCAAAAGATAAAAGCCTTTAGATGCGTCAGTGGAGCATAGGAAATCAACGAACCCCTTCTATAAATAGTGCAATTCGTATTTGGCTAACGATTAACCGGTTGGTAATCTGGTACTTAGTTTTCAACCAGAAGCAAGTACAGCGCGTTTTCACGGCACAGTTAACCAAGGTTGTTTGTTTTAAGATCCTTGCCTGGTGCTTGCAATTAACATGCACTGTGGGTTTTCCCAAAGCCGACACGGGAGAGGAAAAGAATGCAATCGGTCATGAGCAAATCGTACCCATCACAGCAAGTCGTTCTCACAAAAAGGTTGGGTGTGTATTTATAGCATCCGCTTGATGAGAAAGAGCCGAACGGCTTCTCACAGACATGGACCAATCAGATCTGCCGATAATTCTGTGGCCACAGTAAAGGGGGAGGGGCGCTGTCGAGCTCATGGCGGCTCACACAGGGGCTTTTCTGTGAGATGATTCATCGTAGAAATGAAGGCATTTACAGCGATTTACTGTTCAACGATGCCCACTGGCCTCGATTGGGAGACGATTCAGCTTGAAATGCTTCACCTAGCCTGCGTTTTCAGCAAGCATATTAAAAAATCTACAACATCGGAATAATTTTATAAATATGACTGGTCAAACGGCTGGCCTACCCAACTGTTTGCTCCCAGAAAACGTTTATGTAGGCCCTACGTTTCCCCCGGTTGAAGAAAAAATCAGAATGTTTGTTCATAACTCCCGTCATGTCACGCTACAGCAACGAAACAGAAAAAACTGCTAATTTTCGGACCCCCTCCCTCCCCCATTCCCCCTTTTGCTGTCCCTTTACTCTGACCTCGCTTATAGAATGGTAAGAATCTGAGGATGAATAATCGAAAACTTACGTGCGCCAAACTTGAATTATTAAATGCTTAGATGTGTATCATCGCTAAAAATATAGGCGCCTAGATTCCAATCAACAAACTCGAGGCATATTTTTGGCCGCTATACATTTACCTTGAAACGTTAACGAAGTTGTTTGATTGGCAGCATTCTATAAATGAAGCACAAGTCTACTAAAAGTAGACACAACTTAGAATTCAACTGAATACACCAAAAAGTGGCTGGTGGCATTTTGAATGTCATTGTCACTTAATCTCGTGTCAGTCCGGTGTGCCTTCTTGAAATCCAAAAAAGTTCTTATATACAAAATTTTTGTTCCCGCCTGAGACTTTCAGCTTGGTTTGCGACCAACAATCTGACATGATAATACATCCAAAAGGCACATCACACAGCTGCAGAATGTCGGCAAGTAAAACTGCGAAATAGTCATGGGCGTTGTCATTCACATATGATGCGAACTACATCGGGGCAAAGATCGGACCATACTTTAGTCTACCATTCACTTTAGAACAGAAGATTCCTCGTCTCACGAAACGTCAAACGCTAATCCAGAAATGTGGTTCAGATTCGAACAAAGTATACTTGAGTTAGGTTGATTAGCATGCGACTTAATCTCAATATATTTTTATTCCCCTTGGGATACCGGCTTTTGAATGAGCTTCCCTAGCAAGAAGTATATTATGTAAAATGGCTAGTTATACAGTACGCCTTTTTCTCATTCATTTTTACTACCCTAATCAAGGCAAATATATGTTTAAGAAAAATGCGCAAAAGGTATTCTTGGTTTGGTAGAAACTTACGTCTTCTTCAAATTTTATGCTTGAAGAAAGAGTAACTTTCGGTTTTAAAACGTTTTCTAATATGCCGACTAATTTTGGACACTGTCAGCCGTTACACCTGAATTTAAGGTCGCCAAAATAAATGCCATATATATTCTGCTTTGCCTACAGTGTCAGGAAGAAGTCGTATAGTTCTCACGAAAATGTTCTATGGATTTAAACGAAGTTGCATAATTTATAAGCAGTATTAAAAAATGCCTAGATACGTTGCTTTATGAATGCAAATTTCGCATAAGTCGAAATGTTTCTGAGACCAAAATGTACCATTTCTTCAAAGCTAAATTTTTACGAAGACGTTATTTTCTACCATGTGAGCGCAACAAAAAATATTTTCGTGCATTTTTTCTATAAGATATATTTGAATTTATTAGGGCTTTCTACGCAAGAAGCCATTTTTGTTGCAGAATGTACTCCTTGCTGGTGGTCAAATGAAGCTATTTCAAAAGTCGGCATCCTGATTTAACTCAGATATATTGAGGTTTAGTCGCATGATAATCAATACTACAATCACATGCTTGATGAATATGTTCGAAGTGAAAGCATATTTCAGAATGTCGGCTAAAATTTCATGAGATAGACAAGCCACTGTAGAGTTATAATACTGCTTATCGCGCATCCTAATCTGAAGATAACTCAGTCTCCACGAAATACAGATTTTCAAAATACTTCCTTTATATCCGTCAGCAAAAGGTGTACGCCGTAAAAATGGTTAAGGCAATACTATTTATTTTTTCTAATTGATGTTCACTAGCCTCAAAACTTTAAATATATGTTATACAAATGGGCCAAAAGTAATCTTTCTTATAACTTCTTGGTAGAAAATTACGTCTTCTCCAAATGTTTGCATGAAAAAACAGTATCCTTTGGCTGTAAAAAAGGTTTCTATTTTGCGAAATAGTGTTGAATCCTACGAAATGTTACAAGTGAATTCAAGGTTTCTAACTTACATGCTGTATAGACACTAACTAAGGAAAAGTGAATATTTTCCTAAAGAATTAGGAAACCGTAACAACTTTGCAATGGGTGTGAATCATGTTGTATAGTTTATAGGCAACTTTAGTGAATTGACAGACAAATTTTAATATAAATAGACGGAAGCTCATAATTAAAATATTTTTTTTTAAACCGAAAGCCATCCTTTCTTAACTTACGAATCTGAATTTTACGTAATTTCCTACCGAAATGTACAAGAAAGAATATGTTAATGCATTTTTCCTAATGAATATGTTTTAAATACATATGGATAGACCAAATCAATTCGGAATAATGCGTGCTGTTTAAATAACTACTTTTACAGAGTGCACTTTTTGTCTGACGGGCAGAAAGGAGCTCGTTCAAAAGCTGGCATTCTGTTACAACTGAAATAGCTTGAAATCACGATGTACGATGATGAGTACTGCAACCCTACTTACATAGTTTACTTGAACCAAAAACGCATACAGTGGAGCCTTGGTTAACAAGTTCAACCCGCCACGACAGCGAGATCGTCATGTGCAACGCTCGTCTTGCCAAAGAAATGAGCTCTTAGTTAATTAAAGTGACTGGCTGCCGGCAATCGAGAACCCATGCTCCGGGAGCAAGACTCAACAGCGGAGGACACTTCGACCATCGTTTTCGAGGATGTTCACGACGAGCTTCAGCAGGCTGAAGTCAGATGCGGTGACTGCGGTTGGATTACAGTGAAAGTAGACTCACCGGACACTCTGACCACTCCCACACCTGAACCCGATTTCGAGACAAAGTTGAGAAGATCGGAGATGAGGGAGGACGCAGGTGTCTGGCATTAACAGCACTGAAAACATGTTCCAACAGCACACATCGCTAGGTAGGCTCCCGCTTGGGAGCGCCATAAAGGCCACACTAAGAAGGAGTTATTGCGCCTGACTCTCAGCCCGCAGTTAGCCACTCCACACAAAGAGACACACACTGGGCCAACTGCGGCGTCCAAGTTATCCTGTCAGATGGCAACCCTCCAAGCCGTGGCTTTTAGTGCATCGTAATAGTCTCAAGCGTAGCAAATAGTTCTGAGTGAATAAAAATGCGCTTAGGGTTGACCACATCATCTGCCCCACCGCCTAGTTGATCGGCCACCTGAGGTGCGATGAGGGCAACAGCGGACACAGGCACATGTGGTCGTTAACTAAGCCCGTCAATCCAAAAAATGTTCGGCGACTGACTCGGTCGTCAGCCGAAATGCTCGTAGATGATGGGACTGCTAGTCACCACAGGGTTCCATTTCATTTCACCATTTCGGTTAAAGTTTAGCTGGATATGTGGAATTTACTGTGACCCCTAGGCTAACTTAAACAACAGAACACGTCGCAGCTTTCGCAGCTCACTTTCAGGCTCGCTCCGCAGCCGCGGGAGTTCAAGCGAAGGCAAGGTGTGTCTCTAGCACAACGCCCTTGTCAATTGAAGCGAACACGCGAGTTCCAGGAAGTAATTGAGAAGGAGAAGACGAAGATTCGATCGCTGGGACAACACTTTTATCCACCTGAGGTTTCAACATCCGTCGCGTAACCTTCATCAGAGACATCAGCAGAAACGGGTGGTACATACACAGGAAGTTGCAGTATTTCTAGGATACAGTCACTACTGCACACTTGTGACACCCAAAAGACAATTTTCCTCTTATGCGTTACTGGTTTGCTGACCGGCATGCGGGCCGTAACCAGCTGAACTTGCAACACGCGTGGTGGAATTGGACGTGATGAGTGGTCAGTCATCTGGTTGCCCGATTTTGGCGTAAGATGAAGCGGTGGCCTGTCCGTTGCCCAAGTGGCGACTTGCTTTGGCCCAAATGAGCCTCAGCACTGGGGGCTAGTTAAGTTCCTTCGGACGTGCCTATGGACTCAACGCGATATTTCTATCTCCAAAAATACCCACGTGCATTTTTAGATCCGTTCTCCTATACGGATGCTAATTTTGGGTTATGCGCACGGAAGATGAAAGGAAGCTGGAAGTCTTTGGTCACTACTGTCTGAGGAACATCCTTCGAGTGAAGTACGCCGAATTAGTCTAAAATGAGACAGTCCGCACATGCTGCGACAAAATCACAAGGATATCGCAGGCCATTCAGGAAAGACGACTAAGGTGGTTTGGCCACGTTCTTCGTCGTCAACCTCAGGAGCTGAGTGTTACTACCCTCGACTTGAAACCGTTACCCAATTAGAAACGTCGAAGGGGGGGGGGTTCGACTCAAAACCTGGCTCGACTCAGTCTGTCAGGACACGGAAGTGGTTCTCGGACCTTCGGTATTCGCTAGAGAAGAGACTGAATAGAGCTCTCCAGATCCGCTGCCACCAACCGTCACGCATGGGGAGGTACCTTCCGTGACATCATCAAGGCCGACTAGATCAGGCATGATCACAGCCATAACAAGTCAAGTCAAAGGCCTGTGAATCATGATTCAAGTAATTCTCGGTTCACGCGTTTATCCCCTTTTGCGAGAACTCCGTCCTCATCCAATTTGAATGTTCAGAGACGATACCCATGTAAGCATTCAGGAAAACAAGTAAAGCGAACGAAAGTTTTCTGTTAATTAATCATCAGACAATAATATATACTAACCCAATTTTATGTTCGCAGAAGGCGTTTGTAGCGGCCCTAAAGCTCCCGTGGCCGAAGGCTAACTCAACGTCCGCCCCAACGGTTCGTACCACACCATGAAACAGTGACGAGGCCCCGGCTGCAAACATCCCAGTGCCACTCACGCCCGCACGAGACGATGAAAACTTGCGTCCTTACACCTCCCAACAAAATTTTAGCTAAGGACGACGGGACGACACGAAATAATTGTCAGGCCCCTTATCCTCTCCTCCCCCAACTTTGCCCCCCTCTGGTCCCCAATTAAGAATAGAATCCGACCTTTTGGATCCCTTTACACCTCTTCTCCCGTACCCCCTTAATCACTACTAATTGGTTGCTTAAACATTCGTTAACTCTACCCTCCCTTATATTATTGTATGGCCTGATGATGAATTAACGAAAACGTTCGTTCGTTCGCTTAATTTGACTGCCTAAATTTGAATGTGTGGCCGAGTCTCTTTAAATGAGCCGCAACTTGAGAATCGGGGCTATTTCGCCGCGCTGCTGCCGCCTGTACGGTAATTCGCGTCTTGAGAAGTCTACCAGTTTTCCGACGTAGTTGCTATCTCCGCAACTGCAATAGATCCTATAAAAGACTCCAGATGATCCTTACCATGGCAGTGGGTCTTTCAGTTTCATTAACTGACG